GATATATAAAATCGTCCATAATTTCATCGATTCAAACTTAAGTGATCAACTGATAATTGTATTAATTGAAATTCCATTGTTTTTATTTTTAGTTAATCAATAAGATGACGAAGATGATATTGATCTAGAAATTCGAGTTTTAGCATAAATTTTCTTCTAGATTTGATATTGGAATCGTCACATTTCATATCCGAAATTTGTCCAACAAGGAAAATTAATCAGCTAATCAATCGCTTTCTCATCAAAATCTACTGAGTTATAAGTTATCTGCCATGCTGATTCTGAATATGATAGTAAGAAGATCCCTTAGGTCTATACATGCTCACTTTCCAGATTGACAGATATTTTTCCAAAGTCGTTTTTGCTCTATTCATCTAATAGAGTATATCAAGCTGTTTATGAATGAATAATCTTTTCTATTTTCAAAAAATGAATGTCAAAGAAAATAATACCATCTTGAAGGTGTTTCAAATTACAACATCAATATACAGCTGTATTATGATTTAAAAAAAGGCTGTTTTCTGCAAAAAAAGAACAATTTGAAACAGAAAAAGTTACTATTTTCTAGGCAAATCGATATATTCTGTAATTTGAATACACACAAAATAAATTTTGACGAAAAATCTATTCTTCTGGAAAAACAGCGTATAATGATCTCAGGAGATTTGTTATGGTCATATTCGAAACCAACATGAATTATAACTTGGAATTCGCTAACTTTTGATAAGAAAACGATGGATAAGTTAAAAACGTTTCCTCGCAAGCCAATCCATAATTAGACGTAATCTTACGAGGAAACGTTTCTATGTGTCAAATCGTTTTTTGAATTAGCACTATATACATCACGTAGGTTCTAAAGACCTGTGAATATCCTCAAAAGAGTTCGAGTTAATAGGTCATTACTGCCAAGATACTATATTTTGTAGCAAGATGTCGTGGTCTATCTCAGAAACGCAAGAAAAATTGAGTTTTAAATATCGATTTGAAATTCGGTATAGGAATAGGTCTTAACAAAAATAGCTTATTGAGAAAGTTTCAGACTTTTTGATTACACCTATTCTGAAATAAGAACACTGCAATTAGCCATTGTATATGAACGGTGTGAAAAATATGTTTTTAATTATAGTCGTATCTTAGAATAGAAGCAATGAAAACATTTGAAATTTTTAAAATAAACTATTGTCATTAAGACGTGTCTCTACGTTGGGTTACAATTCGAAATTCGAAACTTTGTTTTTCTGGTATTTCTGAGGAGCACCATTACATTCTGATAAAAAACAATGTAATATCTTAACAACGATAAGCTATTAACTCAAACTCTTTTGAGAATATTCACAGGTCATTAGAACCTACATGATGCACATAGTGTGAACTCAAAAGCGACTTAACACTTCGAAATGTTGTTTCGTCAGTTTATACGCTAACATATGTTTTGATCCCAAATGAAAATTATTCTATAATTATTCTTACAAAAAAAAAAAGCAGGATAACATATTTAGTAGAAGAAGAAGAATTCCTAGAAAATCTACTTAGGTTAATGTCAATATTCTGTTTAGTTTGTATGTTTCTATTTATTATTGTAAATAAAACTTCCTTTAACCTTATGAATAAATTTCTTTACTAGTATAAATATTCTGAATGTAATTCGATTGTCAACATTAATCAAATGAACAAAAAAAAAATTGAATAACTATATTTCTATTTTGCCGAAGGAATAACATATATTCTTATCTAAGTTTCTCGTCTTGTTTTTTTATTTAACATAATATAATTATCTGTGCTATTTCTTTTTATTCTTATCTTTCGCAAGCAACCAAAAAAAAAACAGCCTTATATGAGTAACGCATACTGATTGTAATTATTCTTTTTTATCTATTTTTGATTTTGCCTATTTTCATTCACGAATCGATATGAATCAGATACACGTCATAGTTCGGAAGCATCGCAAAATATAGCATCTGACACTTGCATGAAAATGCTTGTCTTCTAGTTCTTTCTCTCATTACATTCAATTGCATTACGGTCTACTTTAAGTATATAAGTGGTTGGGTGGATATAGAAAAAGAAATTAGAAAAAAAAAAAAAAAGAAATTGACGCCTCAAAATGTAAAAAAAATCGTTTCAGAAGAAAAAGAAGAAGAACTATTAATGATAGTCGGACTGAATTAAATCAAAAAGAAGACCGTACAAGCATCTATAAAGATATTAAACGAATGAGATTATAATTATCAAAAGAAACTACATATAAAAGAAGATCTTTGTTCGTGCTCATCCTCATGCATCCATGCTTATGAAAATGGAAAAAAGTTCCCCATAAAATATCTAAAAATCGTGTTGACGTCATTGAAATATTCTACATTAGTAATAAAAACAAACTTTGACGATGTAATAAGATTAACTAATCTTAATGTATACACCCACCGGTTGTCGACCACTTGCACTATTTGAAGTTGCTGCATTTGATGGTAAATCATTTTCTGATGCTTCTGATGGCATTGAACTAGGTGCATCACGTCCATCAAGACTTAAAACTGGTAATATGCCATGAGATTTATTTTGTGGAAGAGGAGCAATTTGTGAAACACTTGGTACATAATGAAAATGTTTTGTTTCATTCGACGTATTTATTGGTGTTGTAGGACTTTTATTTGATTTCCGTTTGCTCTTACTTGAACTTTTGAATCCGAACATTGTGTTTGTTCACGCTTGAATATATTTGTTCGTTCGCTTGGTTTGTTTTTAAATATTTTCTACAATATTAATGAGCAGGTTGGTGGATTCGACATTTCTTGACTTGTATGATCATCATCACAATCTCATATATGCCTCTAACATACACATACAGACGTAAAACATAGACACGCGCGTCCGCTATGTCAACTCTTCTCTTTCTAGCTCTCTCTTTTCTACACTTTTTGCTTTAGAACTGGCTGCTCGGAATGTATCAAACAGCGGACGGATGGACGGACGGTCGCTTACATACTCGCTCGATAGATGACGACGAAAGAAAAAGAAAAGAGAGGGAAAGCGAGAAAGCAATAGAATAAGATAGAAGAAATGCTTATATATGAGGTCGTGCAAGAACTGCAAAGAAGAGAAGAAGAAAAAAAGAGAGAACACGTAGAGAAAACGATTGCTAAATGTTAAGAGCGCATGATGGCTAAAATGTACCAAACAAAATAGAATTTTATTCGTCGAATGACAATAAATATGATATATTCTTACAAGTTTATATCTTCTTTTTAAAATTTTTTGTTTCTATTGTCTATAAATCATCAATGAAGCAAACAGCTGCACATATAAAAAAAGGAAGTATCAGACAAACATAATACACTGTCATGTGTGCACAGCTGATAAGGCAGTTTTTTTTTTTTCAAAACGAACATGTACGCATGTTTAACACTGACAGATCGAGCAAATATACTAAAATGGGAATAAACCAAAAAAAAAAAAGAAAAAAGCAAACATCTGATGAAATAATCTCACGTTTGACGTAATTTAAAACGTGATAAAAATTACTATACAAATGTACACAAAGAAACAGATGAATAACTCAAAAAAAAAAAGGAAAAAAAAGTTTATTTTACCTCATTTACTGAAGCTTGTCTTGATAATGTTTTTCGACCGGGTAATGACTTGATTGAATGTCTTGTTGGCGCACGACGACGTATATTTGCTTGATCATCATTATTATTTTCAGTTTTTCTACCTATATCATTATTATTTATTGAAATTGATGGTTGACATTCGATAGCAGTTTGTGAATGTTGTTCGATTTGTTGTGATTGTAAAGGATTCATGATTCTACGAAGAAAATAATTTATTAGAAAAAAAGTAAAAAGAAAAGAAAATTAATAATAATAATGTAGCAGCGTTTTTAACAAATAGGAATATTTTTTGAAAATAATATGTATATTTCTTTTTTCAGATAAATAAAACTATATTGTGAACAGTTGGTACCTTACGATTCTTTTGTGTTTTATTTTTTCTTTTGTAATTGAATAAATGCTTAGTTGACGACTAGAATATGGAAGAAAAGAAAAATAACCAGTGAAAAAAAAAAAAAAAGATTTATTTAAGCATTGTGTAAAAAAATAATATTTTTGTAGCTTAAATAATGAGAACAAGAGTGATACATACACGAAGGCATAAACATCGATTTCTTGTGTGCTTATGGACTTTCTTCTTCTTATGGAATCAGAAGAATTTTATGTGTCGAATTTATTATTTTTTTCCCAGAAGCAAAATTATTTAGGTCTCTATCTGTCAATGGTTTTACCATGATATGAGCCTATTAAAAAAGATGAATTGCTACTGTAAGCAGCTAGAAAGGAAATCAAAAGAATGTGAGGAATATGAATATAACAATAATATAGGAAACTAACTGATCAAACACGCAATATTAGCGAAAAATATCCTAAACAGCAATAGCACAAGCATCAGTTTGATCATGAAGTTCTTAATTAAGATGGATTTTCCTTTTTTCTTTTTCATGTAATCTTATCGAAGTCTGCCAATGATATATTATCAACAAACAGCAGATGGAAGAAAAAAAAGAGCGCATACACAGCATTGGAAAAAATCTTTAGTCATATCTATCAAAGTCACACAAGTCAATGATGTCTCATTCATATATTCTTCTTATGGTGCTGATGAAGCCAAAGAAAAGAGTCCAGTTTTAACTAGACTCATTTCATCTTCGTCCAATATTCCTACAATAATGACAATATTGATTTTTTTTCCGTATTGTATTATTTTATTTCTTTGTTTCCTTATGTTTACCTCGTTGATTACAATCACGAAAAAAGGTGACTACAGCTTGTTCGACAAGTCTACTATGAGTATTAGTACCATTTTGATTGCTATTAATATCCATCATTTCATCAACTTGAACTTTTCGTATGAATAAAAGATATATATAGATTACAATTAATCTAATTACTCAAACATTTCTTTTTTGTTTTTGTTTTTACTTTCATGTGACGTTGCATTAGCGTACGATGTTGTACTTTTACTTCTATTATCTATATAGAAAAGAAAAAGAAATAATTTAGTCATTTAGTGTTGCTCCATTTCAATTAACACCTGTCGAAAAACTACGAGTGATGAGTAATTGCGCAGTCATTCGTTTAGCACGATCATTTTTTATTAAACCAAATAAGCGTGAATGTAACTCCTAAAAACAAAAAAGCAATAAACTTACATTAAATTATTATTTATAGACATGTATATATTTCCGAAAGATTTAATGATCTAGTGCATGGACAAGATAACTACGCTTATCAATCAAACAGTTTTTCTTTTTCTGATAAAAAGAAAAAATGGCTTAAGAAGAACTAATACATAAAAACCAAATAGAAACTCATCAATCACCATACATGATAGATAGAATGTATAATAATGAAAAGACAATCATACGAAGGATACTCGAAAAGCAAAGAACCTGTCGTCTTATCGATTTTTAATGACTTATTTTAGCGGATAATGAATTTTAGGATATGGTTAATTCGTTTTTGATACTAATAAAAGTTTAATATTATAAAATGAAAAAGAAATTCACTGAAAATATATTTGCCATCAATAAAAAAACTTCAATATTTTGTATCAAAGCGTACAAGTTCTCAAGGATTTGTACTCATCTAACAATGAGGAAAATAAGAATACAAGTCAATAAAGCATATAGACTAATGCACTTAGATAATTAAGTTCAAATTCTTTGAATATGATGAAAATGTTTCATAAAAATCATCAATAATATATGCAGTCATTTTAGTAGAATTACTTTTTTGTTAAACCACCCTTTTTCACTGCAGTCATTAGATGTTTTTTTGTCGTGATAAAGACGACAATATGTCAATTAAAGGTCAAATTATATATAAAGAAAAAATGTTTTTCTGTTTCTACTATTTCCGTCTGCTATTTTTCTCACTCCAACATAATTATTTTTCTAATACGTTGAATTTCCCGTGATACACATTTTCTCCTGACGCACGAGTTATTTTTCATTTTTATCAGCATGAAAATTTTTTCTTTCATTTGTTCACACGTATTTCGACGTAATCTATTCAATAATTATTATAGAATTTCTATAGCAATTGTTATTAAAGTCAAATGAACTTTAATAAAATGAATATTTGTAGATATAGATTGTTGTCGACATGCATAAGATTAGTGATATTCAACTGAGAAGAAAGGTAAGAATGACACTGCTAAAATGATAGATAATGCATCGATTCAAACTATAGAATATAACTCAGACCAATGATTTCGGTGGTCGATTCTGTAGGTTTCCGATCGGAACTTACGGGAAAAAACATAATTTCCGACAGGAAAACTTCTGAAAAACAGTAGAAACTTCAAAATAGGAATACGATGATTCGATCAAAAGGTTGGCTCTTTTCGGAGTCCAAAAAAATTCGATCACTAGATTCTCGCTTCTGAATTTCTTTATCGTTCCCTTTGACAATCATGTAATTATATTTAAAATGTCAATATTTGACTTAGACAAGTTGAATAGTCTCATCATCTGACGCTTGAGTCAAATATTAGAGTTTCGATACACTATTTGAGCATTAGTTTTGTGTTGTCGATGATCAAGTCAATCATCTTCGGGCTACATTTCTAATGCTTGACGATTAAGTCGACTACTAATCAAACTTAATTGTCTCTAATGAATTGTTAGACACGAGACACATCGGAAACTGAGACTTCAAGTCTAAGTAGTTTCTATAGTCATGCAAATCAATAAAAATAAAAACACTAGCACACAAAATGTTAACATTTACTAACACAATGAATTTCGAACAAATGGGAAATCGAATAATTCGTTATACAAGCATGAAACAAACTGAGTAGTCATGTTATGAAATACTATAATTGAAATCGTTTTTTTAGAACAATCTATCAAAGACTACATTCTTTTTTATCACTAGATAAATTAAGTACAACATTCAATCATATTATCAAAACAAACATGTGGTTTTAATAAAAACTTAAGTAAATTAACGGATCTGATCTTTCAAACATATGTTGATACTATTTGATTTGTTGTTTTGTCTTCGAACTAAACTCAGTATATCGAGATTAAACTGATAAGAAGAAACATTTTTCAGTATCAAATCGCTCTTGAGTTAGAACTGAGTGCATTATGTACGACCTAATGAATTTTAGATGCTCTGAAAAAAGTTTAGACTAATTATTAAATTATTACTAGTGAAATATTACATTTTTACAATAGTTTTTAGTATTATACTGTGACTTTTCTCGGAAATGCTTGAAAAAGTTAGTGTCAAATTTCGATTTTGAACATTGTACAGAGACAGACCTTAACGAGGATAGTTTATTATGCGAGTTCCAGAACATTGTTGTTTTTCCTATTCTAAGATATGGCTATGATAAAAGTAAGTATTCTCTTATGTTGTTGATATACATCAGTAGATTTCAATGTATTTATTGCAGAATAGGAGCAATCAAAAGATCTGAAACTTTCAGACTAGACTATTTTCATGGCGGCTTATCTCTATACAAAATTTCAAAACGCGATTTAAAACTCAGTTTTTACATGTATACTTAAGGGCGCTATGACATTACACTAAAAAACAACGTGAAAATGCAATATTTCAGCAGCGATAAGTTATTACTTAGAATTTTTTCAGGATATTTATATTTCATTAGGGCTTCCGTCATGCACATATTCGAGACTCAAAAGTGATTTAACACTTGGAAACATTCTCTCATGAGTATTAATAACGAATTTGAAAGTCTCTAATCAAATTTTGGTGATTATCAAAAACAGCCACGTTTCTTTTTCTCATTCTCGCATTAATATATTCAATAAAATTAATAAAAAAAATCTCGATAATAATCGAAATTTCTTTTCTGTTACCGAATTAATATTTGGTAACATAAAAATAAGTTGTTCTTTCATTGCATATGATTTCGGATCATCATCTAATTCTATAAAAAAAAGAAAATAAATCGAATTATTAGATGATTGAATTTTCTAACCAAGAATAACTCGTGAAACAAATTCTTCTGTTAATGTAAGAATATTTTGATCAATAGCAGCAACAAATCGATCAAATGGCATAACACGATATGATAGTTCAAGTAAAACTCTTTGAAGTTCTAGAAAAAATAATATGCTTTTTTTTTTCATTAAAAATAAAAACCAAAAAAGAATTACCTACCATTCGTAGGTGAAAATCCAAGTTCATCCATAGCTAAATATAATTTTTCAATTACGACAAGAAGTGATTGGTATTTTTTTGATGGTGGTCTAAAATAACAATAAAACTTTTAGTACAAGAGTTTTCTCACAAAATATTCGCTTTTGTTTTAGTATTAAAATACAACTAATTAGAATCAGAATTCTTCTTTATTTCCAAATATATATTCCTATTTTTCTTCTAAGATAAGATTAAATAACTATCAGTAAATTTTGTAAAAAAAAAAAACGTCCAAAATTGTGTCTGTACAAAGAAATACAGCGACTTTGGCATAATTCTTAGTTTATGTCTTAGGACAGCTTTAACTCAACATCACTATTAGTAATCGCTGACAAAAGTTTTCAAATCTGTGATATAGAACTCAATATCACGCTTTGTACAGTAAACTTTTCTTTACAAAGCTAAACCATTAAAAACTATTTCACAATCGAAATACGAAATTGATCGAAATCGTTTTTTTTACACAGCAATGTTCTACTAGAAAAAACTCAGCATTTTTTATATCTCGTCTACATTTATGGTCTTACTACTAAAGATACAGTATTGTAGGCAACAAATTATCATACAGCTCTACATATCATAATTGAAACTATAGATGTAGAGAAAAGAATCAAAAAAAAATGTAGAAATAATCTCGATGTTCAGCTATGAAACGCATATTAAGGAGATATAGAATGCCTATCGTTACTTTCCAAAATTATGGTTTCTNCGGCCGGCGCAGCACCGCCGCCCCCGGCCACATCCACACCCACACCCACAACCACAACCACACCCACACCCCACCCACACCCTATCTTATAAAACAATAGAACCATGCCCATCGATAAGATAACCAATACATGTCTCATTGATGAACTTGTATTGTAAGTAAAAGGTGTTCAGGCTATAGTGTGTGTTTCAATTGATCTTTAATATGACGTTCCATTTTCTTACAGAAACGCACGCAGAAAGGTAAGTTTATGTGGACTCCAGTTTTATTCAAGTTTCGAGATTATGAAAAAGAAGACAGCACTAAAATTGGACCCCATTTTCTTTGCTTATGGCTAAGGTACTTGTGAATATCGTTGGCGATCGATAATGAATCAGAGAGAATCAATCGATCAATCGAAAATATTCTTTTATATCATATTTATATCTGTGAATAGAGTTCTCTTATAGCAATGAATTTCCCAATGGCTACATCAGTTTTTCTTCTGACTTCGATCATCTGATTGATCGTAGCATATAACATTTCAGATTTAGAGTGACAAAAAAGAACCTTTTTCTCAGTACAACAAGGTTATTTTGTAGCAAAACGGATCCAATCGTTCAAACGATTGTTCGCTTTTTAGAAAATGTCGATTTATCTTTCTATTGACATTCAAAGATTCGCACCGCATTTTTTTGAGGTAATTAGTCATAGATCTTTTCTCGTCGATGTAGGATAAAATGTTCAGTATTGTAGTTATTGACATTATCGACAAAGTATGGTGAATTTATATTAAAGTCAGAAATAGGTAATTAAAAAAAATCGAAACTTAGTCCCTCTACTTATCAAAATTTAAAAGTTGTCTTGTTTAAAAAAGAATGAAGATACTCTGAAACTTTGAGAATAGGATCAGTTTAGTGATTGCTACTGACATTAATAACGTAGTTACTAATTGATTGTTTTCTCGTGAAATTTGACAATCAAGTCATATTGATAGAAACTTTATCATTTTCTATTTGTTTGCTTTTGTCTCTAACTCTCTCAAAGACATAAACGAAGAATCAGTTCAATTTATTTAATTATAATTTAAAATAGTTTGATGTACTATTCATAGATAAAACTAGTCTAGACTTTTGACGAATGATGCGGATTTTATCTCTAATGCTCCTAGATTTATTGATATAAGTTTCAAACTTAATATTTTTAAGACCTTTTGACTCTTCAATACTTTCCACCATTTTAATGGAGTCGAATTTTTAGCGAGTTTTATGCCTAGACGTTGTTTTAAATAGAAATACACTGTTTATTGCGTATGATTATACATGATATTTTTATTTGCCAATACGGGTTCATATATTTTTGAATAATTAACAGTTTTTTAGGATTTAACATGACCATAAATAACAAAGACACTATGGGAAATGCCTATTGAGAAAAAAGAAGGAAGTCAGTTTGTTAGATTTGTGATATTCCAAGAACAAGCTTAATGAGAAGTACATCTCTGACATGAGAGATTAAAAGGTTAACGCCACTTTGATGTTATTACATCAATTAAAATGAATGACTATGATTGTCACTATAAGAATTAGAATTAGCATGATTTAATACTAATTATAATGCCTAGGCATTGATGTTAAAACTTACCGTGATGCTTTGGATTTATTGGGCATTAGAATTACTTAATGTTAAGGTGTCTGCAGTAAGCAACATTTTTTCATTTTTTCTTTTTGAATTCTAATGCATCCGTAACCTGTAACTAAACCTCAAAACTTATCAATAACAGAACAAAAGTGTTCTTTTATGGGAAACTTTCGAGCTTGAACTGTGAGATGTTCAGTCGTAAATAACAATCATACTAGAATTAAAAGTCATGCTGATTTAATGCTAAAAATTTACCATCGATTAATTCTAATGTCAAATAATTCCCAAAACATAATGACAAATATTAATAAGAATGCTAATATGACTTTTCTATGAGTTATATGATTATATAACTAATATTTCTTAAGAATTCTTCACAATAATGACATCAGAGTAATAGCGTTCAGAATTATTTTACTTGTATGGCAATTCATTTAGAATTAGACTATTGTGGACACAAGAAGAAGTTCATTTTCTTGACAACTATAAATAGAACATATTACAGAATGAAAAAATCTACATGTAATATGTTCATAATTTTATATATGGTGAATGATAAATTCAAATTTTATTTACTGATTTAATTTATATTACAATTAAATACAAGACAAAATAATATTTTTTTTTGCACAATGCACCCAACTATCAATTTAGTTTTTTTTTTTTGTATATATATTGGTTGCAATTATTAATGTTTAGTCAAATGTTGAGTTCGGTCAGTGACGGCTATCCCAACACTATTGATTGTCTTATCTCCGCATATAGCTGTTGCATGTTCACCAAGGATTTTTCGAAAAAAGAACTGGATTCTATGAAAGAAAACTGAACGAAACAATTGACTTGATAATGTATATATATAAAATGATTTAGCATAGTTAGTATAATAAATTAATGTGGTGAATGACATCAAGAATGAGCCGATTAATTTGTTATAACCAGTTAATGGTGGAGCTAGAACATAGTATGCGTAATAAATCATACGCGTTAATACCAATAATTCACTGAATCCAACTTGAAAAAGCATCATCTAAAAGTCAAATTTCACCATCATACATTATTACTATTGATCAGAGTGCAAAACTAGAGGCTTATAGTATAAATAGTATTTTATCCAAATTTTCAGAGAGGTATCGCTCACTTGACCTCCGCGTTAGACAAAAAAACTGAATTTAAAATAGCTGCTGCTTTTAAATACAACGATTACAAAAGTGGTTTCCATTTTTTTTTTTTTTTTCATTTTTGTTGCTGATTCTAATATGACTTAACATAGACAAAAAACAAAAAAGATGTTGTTATATCAAAGTTTGTTTTTTGCTTTTTGATCTATTACTCACCACGATTAATTGTGCATCAGTTTTTTGTTGACGTCGTTGTTGTTGAGTTAGAGCAACTGTATTTTGTGGTTGTTTAACTGCCACGCGTTTTTTTGTTCGTCGAATATTCATATAAGTAAGAAAACCAAAAGTCAACATCAATAAATGAGGAATAACACCAAGCCAAAACACTACAAACATACCATCAAACATTGCAAAACTACCAGCTAAAGCATTGCATCGTGGTCGAAGATTATATCCAACTAGAATATGAATACATGATAGAAAACCTATTGTAATAGCTCCTATAGTTGCACGATAAGCTATTTTCATTTGACTGAATGAACGAAGACGAGCACTAACTGATGATGATAAAAATCGATCGATTGATGATAATAATACCAAATAAGTAGCTATTAATGGAAGTACTGAAACTAAATAAGCACGAGATTTACAATAGACACGACTTGTATGAATTAATTTGCTACCAAAATGATCAGCAACAAGTCGAGAAATAGGTCCAAAAGTAATAGATAATAATTCGAATACAGTTGACATAAGAAAATAAAAAGCACATGAATTCTTACGTAATTGTGGTGCTGTAAATGTAATAAAATTACATAGACAACCAATAATACCAATCACTAAAAGAAAGATTGGTCCATAATAGGTCATTTCATTGGTGATAATTTGTATTGAAGCTTGAGTAGTTGTAGTAATGGATGAAGTTACAATTCTTGCGGACATGGTTTTCAATAGTTTTTATGTTTAAAAATACTAGGTAAAAATGTGTCTGCGTGTTACGTTGTTGAAATTATTGCTTTTATATAAATATTGTTTAATGTTAATATTCACTCATGAGTTCTATTAGAATAATATCGTTTTTTTTGTATGGTACGGGCTAATCGTAATAGGAATTGCGAAGAATTTCACCTTTTTTCTACAAAAACAACATGGAAAATTATACATGGCAGGAAAATGCTGTTTTTACACACGACGAAATTACATTTTTTACGGAAAATGTAACTTTTCGAATGAAAATCTGTGGTGCCATAGCTTAATTCCGATATCTATGTATGCGAATAAGTAATAAAGAAAAGAAGATGCCGATGGAATGGATGTTTTTCAGTAACAAACAAACGATATTTTATACGTCATATATGATTAGTGTCATTTTTTTTACTTACATTATTTTGTTTATGTAGAAACTTTATCTGTTTTTTTTTCTAGAGTTGTTAAGAAACTTTCTTTTCTCATTTCAAAATAGCACTACTAAATGCATACAAACATCATCAAAAACTACATTTCCATCATCTTATCACATTTTTTAAGTAGTGAATATTATTCTAAAACTATTACCAAATCTATGCTTATAACAAACATCTGTTATTGTTCTCATATACCAGCAGTACGCCTGTGTTTTTCTTTTGTAAATACAATACGTCAGTTTCTCAGCATTAGCTATTACTAATGGTTATCATTCTTAATGACATGAATTAAATTTCTATGTAGCGTAAAATTTTAAGTTGCTTTCATTGTAAAATGTAGTTTTCAATAACGTTTTCTATTATATCCGTGTCGTATACATGACATTTTCATAAATTGTAAAACTATGTCAAACAATATACGTTCAGGACATTCATGAAACTACAGCATATGATAACTCATTTGTATCCGTCTATATAGTCCACAATGACTAACGGGTACCTTCGCAATAGTGTAATAAAAATTGTTTAAATACAAATACTGGCAATGTTCCTCATTCGAATAGTTTCGACGGAGATGCGGAAATTTTTGCTTTTTTTTTTCAAATAAATTTTAAAGAAACTTATAAATTTTTTAATATTATTGAGTAAAAAAATGTTTGCCGAATCGAATGATGCAAATATCATTCAGTTATCTTAATACTCTCGTATCTAACAAAAATATAAAAAATTGTTCTATACCTACAGAATGGGCCATAAGAAGCACTATGATAAATAAAAAAAATGAAATATATCCTCGTCTATTCAATAAAATGGGCTGACTTTTTTTTGGTTAAAGACAGAAGTTTATCTAAAGTGTTTTTCTCTCATACGACTGAAGAAGAAAGCAAAACAACCCTGATAAATGATACTATACTGACGCATATAGAGCAAATTTTTAGAATTACTGTAGTTAGTTAAAAATCAATGGTTTTAAAAATTTGAATTTTCGAAACAGAATACTGATTTTTGCAACGAAATTGAACCCACAGGAGTGCAATGCTGTGTTTTACTTATGAGACAGGAATTTCAGCATTTAAACTAATTAACTAATAGTTTTGAAAACTTGCTCTGTGTGCATCAATATAGTTCACTTTGACTTCTTATTCTCTTAGATAATAATTGAAAATTATCTATGAAACGCGTCATATATGTATTTTTCTTACGTTATGATAGATAAAATTTCTTTAGCAAGACCAAAAATAAAACTTTACCGTAGTATTTGTTTTCCTTTTCCGTATGAAAAAGAATTTAAGTCTGCTTCTATTACTAACTAAAAAATCAACTCATTCGAGCGAACTGAAGCGGAGATATTTCAATTTTTATCGTAATATTATTTATAGCCCATCTTGTTGTGCGCCATTTTTTACAATTAAGCTTTTGTTTTTTTATTATGAAAGTAATTCACGAAAAATTTCTTAAAATATATATGTATATGATAGATAATAATAAAATTAGGTAAATTTCATTTTTAATTAGGCGAAAAAATACAAAATAATTTTCATTTCTTTTAATAGAGCATAGCACATACTTGTTACTTGCAAGTAGATAGAATATTCATTTTCAACAATTCACATTCACATATATGCATCAATAACTTTTGCGTCGACATGAAAAATGATGTTTGAAAGTATTTTTATGAACACGCTAATCAACATAATAATCTCTTGAGTATTAAATACCAAGAGAAGACATTTATTTTTTTACCATAGGGAATATACAAGCTAAAAAGTCTTGGTTGTTTTTTGTTCGAAACATAACTTAATAAAACTTAAAAATATAATATATTCATACTTTAAATATCATCTCTAAACTATTGTCTGTTAAAAAAAATAATGGTCGTGGTCATTTTTGCAATAACTCAAGAAGGGAAAGAGCTAGTAAGCTGAGGTTTTCGCCAGTCGAAAGAGGCGATACTAGGGCATCTTTTTCTCCAATATTGTATCAAACGAAATCATTTTAAAATCAATCATTTCTGCAAAACATTACAAAAAATGCATGAAAACGGTCTGTCGTTACGATAAAATTTTGGTTTTGATATATGGCTTGGATAGAGGGACCTTTGATCTATATAGTTTAAGATATAATCTGAACGATGATCTTTACGCATTATAACATTAAGCAAATCAAATTCTTTATTTACTCCCTCGAAAAGTATGAATTTCTCTTCATTTTTAAGCAAATTTTCTTACTTTTTGTCAAAATTGCATATGAACGACAGATAATTTTTGTCCCTTTTTTCGATGTTTTGTAAAAACGTTTGATTTTAAAATGATTTAGTCTTATACAATATTGGAGAAAAAGATGTCATAGTGTCGCCTCTTTCGACTGGTGAAAATCGCAGCTCTCTAGCTCTTTCACTTCTTGAGTTATTGCAAAAATGATCACGGCCATTATTTTTTTTAACAGACAATAGGTACAGTACAAAGACGATTAAACATCCATAAAAATACTATTCAAATGAATATACAATTTAAGATCCTTTCTTTTCTTTTTGATGAAAGTTTTCTCATACTAACCAGATTTCGATTGAATATGCGCGCAAACTTTACAACTTCTTAGATTCAATTTAATTTCAATTAAAGCTCGACATAACTTAATATTAATATACAAGATCAAGCCATTATTCCTATCTTGTTCGATTTTTTACAAGAAACTCAATAGTTTCATTAAGATTAATTAGACAAAAAAAAAGAAAAATGAGGTGAAGAGAAAAACACAATTCATTAGTGTTAAACAAAAAACTTGAGAAAAGGATCAATTGATAATTTTATCGAGGTTACATAACTGAATAGTTTTATAAAGTTTCGAAAATATATTATGAAAATATACTCTTAAAAAATATTCTAACTTGTAGTTATCGCCTTTCATCAATATTTTGTCGAAAATACGATTATTCGCGATATTTTATTGAAATTTTTCCGTGAATTATTTTTTATAATAGAAAGAAGTACATTTATAAAAAAAAACAAGGATAGCGATACAGCACAAGTTTTGTAATTTTTTATCGATATACGTCTGCGTTAAACTGCTGGAAGTTAATGGACCATCCAGCAATGGCTGCTTTTTTTGTGACAAAAGTGCAAAGAATATTTTAAATTAAGATATGAAAAAAAAATATTTACTAAAATTATTCCATTTTCTATATATATTTTACATAGAATGTTCATATTAGGAATATTGCTCCTAATAAGAACAAATTCAATTACTCACAACTATCTGTAATGATTCAGATAATTTTGAAGATAATTGAATAATTTTTGCATCAAACGATTCAGAGGACATTTCTGCACTCAATAATCTTTAACAAAGTTTCTTTAAAAGTTGCTTGAAAAAAGAGCGAAAATTTTCGCATCTTCGAAAAATCTGTTCCAATTAGAAGCAGTACCTGTAAACTTAAAGAAAAAAATAGTCACATTATCAAACTCCATTATAATACAATAGAATTACTATAAATGAGTGGAAGGACAAAAGTTTCTTACTGTATTTTATGCTGATAAAAAAAAAGATTTCTTGCCATTAGCATCAATGAGAAAAAAAAATGAGTACACAATTTTCATTTAGATATGAAAGAAGAACAAGGTTTCTCAGCTCGTCTTAGTGACATTAATAGTCTACTCTGTGAAATACAACTAGGAAAACCTATGACCTGTCACATTTAGAACACACGAAATAAATAGTTAATGTATTGTCACTTAAGTAACTATCAGAAGATTTTTCTGATTATTTCTAACAAAAACTCAATCATCTAATGTTGACATTCAAATAGAAAAAGAAATCTTTTCTTTTAGTTTAACTTATAAATAATAAAGAACATGTTTAATTAATTAGAAAAAAAAGATTTTTCCTACATACTACTCATAGAATTTGAACTTATTTTCACCATATTACATAGGCCGTGCCTAATAATGATAGAAATATATTGTGATTGTGTACATAGTGATGATGAAAGAAATGAGTAAAAATTTTATCGTAGTCTAAATATTATCTTCATTTCAAACGATAGTGTCAAAATATTCAATGCATATTTTATATACTTCGTCAGAATCAAAAAAGCAAAATAATCTAAAATATATTATTTTCAGAAAGATTCATTCTCGATAATATTAATAGAAAAAGAAAAATATCGAATGGTTAAGAACATCAACTCGTCCAACAACTCTTGGAAAAACATATTATTTCCAATGATAGTCATAGACGAATGAAGCGTTAAGTAGTATTCATACATACTTAGAATTTTATTGTAAACAGAAATATATTTCATTCAAATACTTGCCCGAATACAAATTATTTCTACCGTAGTAAGCTCGAATGAAAATTTCTTTTGTCTAATATAGTTTGATGTACTATCGATAGATAAAACTAGTCTAGATGTATGAGGACCAGTTTCAGCTTGACCTTTAGTCTTACAATCGACATCATTGATATTAATCAAAGTTTTAACCAAAACAGAAAACATATAACATTCTAAGTACGATCTCTTCAGAAGTAAATATCAGACAT